GAGGGAGGAAGGGAGGAAGGAAGGAAGGAGGGAAGGAGGGAGGGAGGGAGGAAGGAAGGAAGGAGGGAAGGAGGGAGGGAAGAAGGAAGAAAGAAAGGAAGGAAGAAGGGAGGGAGGAAGGGAGGAAGGAAGGAAGGAAGGAGGGAGGGAGGGAGGGAGGTGCAACCTAGCCCCTGCCACTGGCTCACACTTGAGCATCTCCTTTTGTAACCTGTTTCCTCCACCACCACTACCCCATGCGCAGGCATCTTCCCGTCCTGTAAAATAGCCTGACTTACTGTCTAGGGTGGCTGTGCTATCCCCTACTACTTGAATGATCCTCCCCAGTTGGACGCTTAGGTTATATCCATTTTTTGTTTCTCTTTTTCCAATACTTTATTCCAAATGGGGACCAATTTTTTCTCCCTTTTCACAACTGGCCATGGGATTTGGGGCTTGACTTGGGGCCCTCATATGTAGGACCCCCTCTTTCGTCTTGTCCCCAGGCATCTCCAGGTCCCCTCACCTTCACGCCATCCAGGCCGGGCCTCCCAGGAAACCCCTTCCTGCCAGGCTGACCCTGCAACAGAGAGAGAGGTAAGTTGGGCAGGGGCAACATTGCTGGGGTCCAGGAGCTCCAAGGACCTGGCACAGGGTACCCATGGCTGTAGAGGGCCAATGCCCTGGGAAGAAAGGAACACAGAACCCTGAGTCACCAGGTGGCCAGCTGTCCTAAAATACACGCAGGGTCTCCAGCTGTGTGAACTCAGGGTTGGTCTTCTTGTTGCAAATGAGGATGATGACACCTGCCTTCAGGGAGCGAGGGAAATGAAGGGTCTTTGCCGATGATCAGGGGCACTGGGAAGGGGAAAGTTTATGCCAGTGGTCCCCGAAGTATGGCCTGAGTTCTCCAGGGATCCCTAAGATCCTTTCAGAAGGTTCACAAGGTTGAAATGATTTTCATAATCACACGAAGATATCATTTGCCTTTGTCACTCTCACTCTTGTGGGGCTGCATGAACTGCGATACTGTCCACGGATTGAAAGCAGAAGCAAAGTGGAGAAGCCAGCTGACTTCTATCAAGCTAGACATTAAAAAGATCTGCAAAAATAGTGACACGATGCCACTCTTTCCACTCAATTATTTTGCCATGGAAAATTGAGTGAATTCTCCTAAAACTATTATTTTCACTAACAGGAAATGAGTTTATGATTAATCTTCAATGAATGAATAAATAAATACATCTAAAGTCTCTTGGTTTTAATTACTAATATCAGTAGATGTAACCCACACAAACAAAGCTCTGGGTTCTCCGTCATTTTTAAGAGCATAAGAGGTCCAGATACCACAAATTTCATGAACTGCTGGTTTATGCAATGGCTGTGATGAAGAGGGGGTGTGGGACAAGGGACTTCGGGAAGGCAGCTTGCAACAGTGCAGAGGGCTTGGGCTGAGGTCCCAGGCAGGGCGTCCCCACTGCCTGGCTGTGAGATGTGGAGCTGAAGCCTTCACTCTCATTTACCTCTTCTCTAATGAAACCAAGGAAAGCAGCCCTGTGACACGGGAGAACCCAGGAGGATACTGACACGAAGCACCCAGCATATAAGACGTGGGCAGTGATAGTTTCCTGGCTCTTGTCTTTCTCCTTTGGGGTCTGTCCTAGTCCTCTCTCTGGCTTGGTCCCAGGCCCTCACTGATGGCTTCTCTGGAGTACTGGCCAGATGTTGCCCTGCCAGTGCACAGCTGGTTTAGCGCCCATGAATCCCCCCTCCCCCAGGCCAGTGATACTCACCTCCAAGCCAGGGGCCCCTGGTGGCCCCATGGGTCCCTCATCTCCCTAGAATTGGGAGACACGAGAGAGGAAAAAAGGAGAAAATTAATCCAGCTGGACTTGCAGAGATCTTATCCTGTATGGAGGGAAAGGGATGGACAGAGGAGAGGCCTCCTGGACAGAGAGCAATGGCACGGCTGGCCCACCTGCCTGGACCTCCCCCGGGGCAGAGGCTCCACTGGTCATGGCCTAGAGCCCAGGTTACACAGTGACTTCCAGTGAATGGAGACTCTGGGCTTCATGGTCCTGGGCATGAGAGTTAAACCCCATTGCGTGCTGTGAGGAACAGAGCCTCAAGCTGCAGCTCAAAGATGTAAGCTCTGAGTTCTGCTGTTTGCTCACTGGCAGATCTCAGCCTCACTGTGCCTCAGTTTCCCAGAGTGGAGAAGATCATCCTCAAGTGTAATAACTGGTTTCACCGAGCTCCTGGAGGACAGCAAAGATGCCTTATTCATTCTTGCAGCCACCCCCAAATATCACTCAGGACGGTGCAGTGTCTAGTGGGTGTTTGGTGAATGAATAAATGAATGAATGAATGAAGCTGTGAACAACTGGCAGACATATATAGGGTTTTTGAGTGGTAATGTGAGTGTAGACAGAAGCACGTAGCTGGTGCCATTCCCTCCTCTCCCTTTCTTTCCCATTTTTGATCCATGAGACTCTCCATGTTCCCGCAACCCCCACAGGCTCAGGCGGCCTCTGAACAGGCTCCTTCTGGCATGCCAGGCCTGACCAAGGGGCTCCCTCCAGAGCCACCCCCCAGCTCCTTTCCCCCAGCTTCCAGGAAAGCAGCTCCACGTGGTGGCTCCCAGAGCCAGCGCTGGGACCCCGCCAGACCCAGAGCCAGCCTAAGAAGGGATCCATGTCAGCTGGATGCCCGCCTGCGTTGGTGGTGAATCTGGGCTTCCTGCACCCTCAACCCAGAGCTATGTGTCACGGGGGCCTGGCATCTGAGCTAAGGTAGGTGGGGCATGGGAAGGCTAAGCATGGCCTTGTGCACAGGGCAAAATCAGGGGCCCGCCCATCTAGTGCCCACCTGATGCTCCAGCAGCCCCATAGAGACCCTTCCCCATCCACTTCACCAAGTGCACATAAATAAGCAAATCGATGCTTTGCCACTATTTGTGCACGTCATTCTAATATTCTGGAGGTGCCCCCAGGCCACTCCCGGAAAGCCGAGTTGACAGCATAGGACGTATGTCATGAGCTTTGAGCTCAAGCAGACCTGGGTTCCCACTGTGGTGCCTGATAGTAACCATAAGACCCGACTCTCATTTCCTCTCTGGGCCTCAGTGGCCTCACCTATAAAATGGGGCTTATAATTCCCACTCCCCCATCAATGCCCTGATAAACTGCTACTATGAGCATGACAGTGGCAGCAGTTCCGGGAAAGAAAAATTCAGGGTGATGAGGGTGCGGCGGAGGGAGGGTGAGGGAAAGCCACCCTGCCAGGTGATAGCAGGGCAGAGAAGGTTCCTGGAGGGAGCACAGGGCAGGGCTGTATAGGATGAGCTGGTGGGTGAGTCTGGGGCAGCCCTGGGTGGTGTCCTGGCTGAGGGGACTCCAGCCTCCAGCTAAGGCCTTCAGTACCCAGGACAGGGCAGGCTGGGGGCTGCAGTCAGGCCAGGATGGGCAGTGGAGCAGGGCCAGACAGTCTCACCTCGGGCCCCAGCTGCCCACGGGGTCCCGGCAGGCCTCGGGCTCCAGGCTTACCCTGGGGAGAAGGGAACAAAAAGGGAGTCTCAGAGGCGGTACCTCCATCGCCATCACAGGCTGGCAAGGCACCCCTACTTCCAAGCCAGGCAGCCAGCCCTTGAGGCCTGTGGTTTTTGCAGAGCTGCCTGCTTCTCCAACTGCAGCTACCCTGGGCAGGGACTCACCTTCATGCCTTCTGGGCCGTTGTCCCCAGGGGGGCCGATGTCTCCTGGGAATCCCTGCAGGGAAGCAGAGAGCAGGGTCACCCAGGGGGGCCGTGAAGGGAGTGCTACAGGTCTGCATCTTACAGGGGGAGTGAACTGGGCTTCCATCTCATCCTGCTGGGATGGGCCCCCAGGCTGGTCAGCTAACCACTTTGACCCCACAATCCTGAGATCTAAAACAGATGTGGTTCCAGCCCTGACACCTCAGAGAGTTGCTGAGACAATAAATGGGACGAATGCAGGAAAGCATGAAGGTTGTAACATGCAAGGTCACGTTCAAGGTCGTTATTTTCAAATCTGGTGCTGCTACTGGGTTGGAGTTATGGGTGTCCAGGGACATTGCTCCCCAGAGCCAGCCACGCCCTGCCCTGAGAAGTCTTGTCTTTTGACTGCAGTAATCCTGCAGAGAGGATTATTTTCTGGGTTTGCTGTGACTTTGAAAGCACTGGGAAGTGCCAACTTAATTAAGCTGAAGTCCTTCCTACATCCTGGCCACATGTGTTGGACTCTCTCTGCCCCACTCCACCCATGGGGGCTCCCTGCTTCCTGATGAGGGCCATTCCCGTGGAAGACTGTGCAATACAAGGTTCTTTCTGCATGCAGCGGAGTCACCTCCCTTCCCCTCAGTATCCTCGTGCTCCTCTTCAGGGCCCCACAGAGTACAGGGGCTCCCTCTCCCCACAGTGGTCTTTGCACAATTTGGAGACCAGTTCCCCAGTTCCCGGAGACCTGTCCTTCTCCTGTGTGACCCTGGGCAAGTTCCTTAGCCTCTCTGGGCCTCAGCTTCCTCATCTGTAAAATGGTGCCCCTAGCATCTCTCTTACAGGGCTGTTCTTAAGCTTAAATGGAACAAGCAAAGTTGCAAGCACTCAGTTAAAATCTGCATCCAAAATGATTTTGGGTCCTGTACCCTGGGAAAAGAAGTCTGCCTGGGGCGGGCCCATCTCTACGAGAGAACCTGGCAGCTGGGATGCTGCTACTCACTCGCATCTGACCCATTGATGAGTAAGAGAGGATTCACCCTCATGCTGGAGAGCGGGAGCTCCCTCCCACGGTCTCTGGGAAAGCAGGCGAAGCAGCAGGCAGAGTGCTGACACACTTATCAGCTTCCGTGCTTATCAGCTTCCGCCTTCAGTGGAGCAGAGCTATCTCTCTGCTACAGAGTCGGCCAATCAAAACAGACACAAAGATGGGAGAGGCTGATGGCTCAATTGTCCAGGGACCCAGGAGAGAGCCCAAGCAGACCTTATTTGCTCCTACATAGCAGAGCAATCCTGGGGAAGCCACTTTCCGGCTCTGTGACTCAGTTCCTTCGACCGTAAACTGGTGGTAGTAATATCTCCCTCATGTGGCTGCCGTGGCGATTCAGCAAGTTCTCATCTCGAAGACACTACAAGGCCTCCTGGCACCAGGAGGTGCCTCATAAATGTGAGGGAGCATGCTTTCCACCCTCATGGGCCAGAGTGCTGGGAAAGCCCGACTCCCAGAAAAGCCTTTTTCCAGTGACCAGAGGAGGGAATTGGGGCCATGAAGGAGAGGCCAAGTCCATTTGTCTAAAGATAGGACTGTGTCACGGCCAAAGTCAACACAGTGGAAAGTCAGAACTTGTAGCTTTTAGGAAACATTTCCTCATCCATCTGAGTGATAGCAGGAACGATCTTTGGAAGGGTCTGGCCAATCCGCAGAGTCACACTTTTGTCTTGGATGCAGAGAGCTCATGGGCGAGCAAGACCCAGAAGTCTGGGCGTTGTGGGAGGGGGCTCCAGCTGGGGTTGGCCCTGGGTGCTGATGATCCTGAGATGGACAGCAGCCCTGGCTTCTGCTCAGCCCAGCTCTCCAGACACGAGACCCATGTTAAAGAGAGTAGGGTCAAAGAGAACTCAGCCAGCTTGCTTCGCTCCATTACATGTGAACTCCAAGTTTCTCATTCAGGTATAGCTACCTATGCCAATGATCACACGCATCAGAAACCCTCAGGGTCTCTCCTTACTTAACTAGAGTTACTATATGAATTGCTAAATCTATCCTTATTTCTCATTCTTCATTCAAAAGCCCGAATTTTGCATTTACCTCTTGCTCCCCATACCCAGAAGCTCTGAGCCCTGAACCGTTCCAGAGTGGCTGTGGGTGGTTAGAAAGTTCCAGAGTGGCTGTGGGTGGTTAGGAACATTCCAGGGCTTGGAGTGGGAAATCTAAGTGGAGAATGTCCTATGAGGGGCCCAGTAATGCACAGAGGGCTTTCATGAATCACAAAGCTGCGGTGGCCACAAAGTTGGCAGAGGCCTCTGAGGCCAGCTTTTTGTCCCTGCTGACTTTTGAGAGCCTCTCAGTAAAAGCAGAAGAGCAGAGGGGGAATGTAAACGATTGCTGATCTAGGAATCTCTCCCCTCAGCCTCATCTCTCATATCCTGCATGACCTAAAGCAAGCCTTTCCCCGGCTCTGGGCCTTAGTTTCCCAAGGATAAGACCGAGTCCTAGCTGCAGAAAGACAGAGAAATGGGGCATCACATACCTCGGGTCCAGGGGGCCCAGGAAACCCAATAGATCCTTTGTCTCCAACTTTGCCCTGTGGAAGGGAAGAGATTGCAGGGAGGCAGGGGTGAGGGCCCCACCTTCCATGAACCTCCTTCGTTACTCCCCTGGCTGCAGGTGGTTGGAAAGTTCAGGGACATGTGCATAAAATCTGCCTGGACAACTAGGAGTGACCATTCAAACTTTGCCTCCTGCACTTCCTAGCCATGGGACCCTCAGCAAGTCACTTCACCTTTGGGAATCTTAGTTTGCCCATCTGTAAAATGGGAGCAATATTAATTCCCTAACTCCTGGGGTAGTTGGTAGCCTTCAAAGAAACATAGTACAGAAAGGGTCTGATGCACAGCGACACTCAATGAGTGACAGCCACTGCTGTTATTGATAACATCACTACTGTTTACAAGGCATCAGGAACCCTAGATCCTCATCAGAGCTTTGTGAGTGAATAAGGCCTGCCTCTGAGGCTGGGTGAGTTTCTGAGCCTCTCACAGTGTCCTCATCTATGAAATGAGCAGATCCCATTCCTTCCCTGCCCTGCTTGTCCCCAGGAGTTCTGCTGCAGGACAGAACTAAGTCCTGGAGGTCAGGGTGTCCTCAGCCACGTTCCATGATCAGTTGGAGAGTGTGAAGTTTGGGGGTGCTGGAGGAGCAGGTACTTACCAGAGGCCCTGGCTTCCCCCGTGCGCCAGGGAACCCTGGTACCCCCTGGCTCCCCTGGAAGAGACCCAGAGCAGGCTGGGGTTAGTGAGGAAGAGAAAAGGCCAGGTGAACAGCCACCCACTCCTCCTGCTGGCCCCAGGCCCAGAGAACGCCCGCCTTGGAGGGGGATGAACTCTTTCCTTCCTTTCCCTGCTGCGAGCTCTGGCTTGGATCACACCTGCCTGGCACCCCTTTAGGCTGGCCCCTAGGAAATGCTAACATAAAACAGCAGCGCCTGTCCTCACCAGGAAGAATCAGGGACCCTGGGGCTGCACGCAGGCTCTGTGGTGCCTTGACGCCTGGGGAACCCTGGAGACTAGGTCCGGCAGGGAAAACGCCAGGCCTGCTATGGTTCACAACGTGGAGCCATGGGAGGCTGGGTCAGGACAGGCCAGCGAGGAGGGAGGGGAGAGGAAGAGGGAGAGCTGGCCAACATCTGGGCCTCGTTGACTGGCCGGGAGAGTCCAGATATGGCCACATGATGCCAGACACAGGCAAAGGGGAGCCAGTCTCAGCAGACCCACAGCTGGGCTCTGGAAGTCAAGGCCACCTCAGTTTGACCCCGTAGTCGATCTGTCAGTGAGCAAGGCCAGTTACTCACTCCCTCAACCTTTTCCTAAATATTCGCGATCAAGAGCAGGACCCTGAGCCGAGCTCCATCAGGGCCGTCTGGAGCCTTGGTCTCACTGTCCAGCAGGGGACTCATCACAGGTACCCCAAAATCAGAGAAGAAACGTGGCGCCACCAGCGAGGGAAGGACATGCCCCTCAGGGCACTGAGAGAGTGAAATGGCCACTTTCTGAGTAGGTGGGAAAAACGGCCTCTGAGCAGGGTGGTGTGGAGAGGCTGGGGGAGGCAGTCCTGGGTGGGAGCAGCTTGTGTGTGTGTGCAGAGGCACACGGGGGGCAGTTCAGTGGGGCTGGAAGGGGGATAGCGGGGGAGTATTAGAGAGAGCACTCACTGGGGTCCTGATGCATGGTTAGGGAGCCAGAGTGTCATTCTGAGAGCAACAGGGAGCTTGGATGGTGTGGGAGCAGAGAGCAGAGCTTTACCCTCAGAAGAACAGTCGGGAGGCAGTAAGGAAGACAGAGAAAGCAAGAGGCTGGGGCCCAGAAATAAGCTGGAAGGCCCCAGTGAAGTCCAAAGAAGAGATGATGAGTGGATCAAAGATGGAGAAGGCTGGATCAATTTCAAAGGCAGCCATCTCACAGGTGGGTCCTGGCCTGTGACGGGCCCTAGGAAGGAAGCCAGGACCAGGGGAACAGCAGGGTGGGGGTGGGGCAGGGGGAGGGGAAAATCCAATGCAATTACCTTGTCTCCTTGGAATCCGGGGTCTCCTGACACACCTGGAACCCCTTGTTCACCCTAAGTACACATCAGCAAAGAAGGTTACAATAGAGACCACACGGGCTCCGAAAGCCTCCCCCACAGAACCCCTGTTGAGGTACAGCTGTGCCGAGGCTGCTCCCCAAGTCGGATCTGGCCGGCAGCAGCCTTGTGAGAGGAAAGGACGGGCCCCTGGTGAGGAAAGCAGGCCACGGTGGGGGATGAACCGGCCGATGTGCAGACTTGCCTGGAGCTGCTTGGGATGGCTGAAAGCGCCCCTAACAGAAGCTAAGCTGCCCAGTGCCCAGTGTCACCCGGGGAACTGACTCAGAGCAAATGAAGTGTCTAAGCCTTCAACCTCCTCATCCTCAACTAGTACTATGACACAGGGGCGAGGGCAGTGTGGATAAGGGCCCCGCACCACCGTGGTTTCGGAGTGTTGGTGTCTGCTGTTTGATATTTTTCACAATCAGGCTGAGCTGTGACTTTCTCCTCCTGTGGGGGTTTCTGTGTCAGCAATCAGCTTTGGTCTATTTTTTTTTTTTTTTCTTTTGAGTTGGAGTCTCACTCTGGTTGCCCAGGTTGGAAAGCAGTGGCATGATCTCAGCTCACTGAAGCTTTGACCTCCTGAGCTCAGGTGATTCTCCCACCTCAGCCTCCCCGGTAGCTAGGACTATAGGCACATGCCACCACACCAGGCTAATTTTTTTTTTTTTTTGGTATTTTTAGTAAAGACGGGGTTTTGCCATGTTGCCCAAGCAGGTCTTGAACTCCTGCACTCAGATGATCCGCCCGCTTTGGCCTCCCAAAGCGCTGGGATTACAGGCAGCTAGTCTATTTCTAATTAACTGCTTTTAATCAGCTATAGCATGGGAAATCAGGTGTCTTGGCTTGTTAAGACTACGTGTAAACAGTGAGTAAATTGGTCTTGACTTAGGTCTGGGTGTTTGTCTCCTAATACAATGTACCGCACTGGTTCTGGCTGCTGGAGGTCTCTTCTGCTCCCTCCCTGTTTTTAGCCGTGTTCTGAACGGGTGCAGTCCAGATTGGGAGCTGCTTCCCCTTAGGGCCTGAACCACCTGACAAAGGCCTCACCTCACCCTATCCAGCCCTCCATGTTGGACATGACTGACACTCTGTTGGCCCCAGGATTCACAAAACATTTACATCCCGGGGAGCAGGAGGAAGAATGGGGAGAAAAACCCGGAAGAATGGAGGCCCTTAGAAAACCCACGCATGGCTAATGCCATGACCCAACAAAAGAACTTCCTTAGTAGAACAAAAGTCAGAATTAAAAAAAAAAAACTTTTTTTGAACTTTGGTTTTTCCAAGTTGGAAAATCCTGTACAACATCCTGGTGTTTGGGAAACCACAGGACATTTTTTTTTTTTTTTTTTTTAATGGGCAAGGGGGGGGGGAAGGGGTTTAAAAAAAAAAAAAAAAAAAGAGTTACAATAGAAAAACAAGGAAAGTTTAAAAGGCACCTCGGATGTCAGGACAATGAATTTGAAAAGAGCTGGGCTCGGAGCAGGAGATCTGCTTCCAGAATGCTTCTCCAGGCTGCAAGAGGGAGCCAGCGGTTGTAAGTGGGACTGAGGCCAGGCTGGGTCATGGAAAATCTGGGATCTGAGGCAGGAGCAACCTCGGAACATGAAGGGATGGCTCTGTCAGCCCAGGGTAAGGCCAGGGGACACGGATGTGATGTGTACGTGGCCGATCGGAACACAGCCGTGAGACTCCTCCCCACCAAAGGAAAAGGGGTTCCTTTCTCCCTCTCGCTCTTTTTTCCCCTAAAGACATTTGATTTTCCTAAAAACTATGGGAACAAAAATAATTTCCTCCTCCTTTTTTTTTTTTTTTTTCAGAGTTTTCACATCTCTAAATGTCCCAGGCAACTCCCAGCAGCAGGCCAGCTGAGTTCTATGTAACACATTTATTTCCATGTTCCTGCAGCTCCGCAAAGGGACCTATAAAAAGCTCGCTGCCTACACTCTCACTTCCCCAGCTTCCTTTCTCCCTTGTCCATGACTTCAACGTTTCCAGAGCACTGATGTTTCAAACCTTGGGATAAACAGGTAAGCAAGGGGAACCCCCGCCCCCACCCCGTCTCCATCAGAAAGCCCATTCAGAGAGGGAGGGCTCTGGCAGAGGGGTGTAGCAGACAGCAGGGTGAGGGGGCAGAGGTGGGTGGTGGCTAGAGGCTTGGGCATGGCAGGAGGAGATGGGAGAGGTAGAAACAGGCAAAGAAGGGACGGGGACTGGCACTGCATCCGGCTGGCTACCCAATCTGGCTGCGTCCATTTTCACCCAGCAATTCTAATGTTCTAAGAGTCCACTGGCCTGCAAATCTCTTTTTCTCTCTGGTTCTTGATTTCTCCAGCTGTGACATGCAGGCACTGTGAAAATGTGACCTTCCCCCCTCCCCAGAGCCTCACCAGCTCTGACCTTCTGACTTCAGTTCTGCTCCACTGGTGAGGTCTCTGGAACCAGGTGACTCTCTACTTACCAGCCGTGTGGCCTCAGGCAAGCTTCGTATTTCATAGTGGGCTGGAGGATTAATGGGTGGATCCATGTGGTGCACTCAGATGGTGCCCAGCATGGCACCTGACCCTATGACTCAGGTGTGGGAGGAAGCAGAGACACCTGGAGACAGGTGTGGTGTCATCTGACCATGGGAGGGCCTGCGCAGCAGTCAGCCCTTCAGTCTTGTGGATACTTGGAATGTTGCCCTGAACCCCTCCTGCACACACTTTGGGGATCCTGGTTTGCCAAGAGTCTGAAGAGGACAGGCAGGAAGATGGCCACAGAGCAGGGGGCAAGGAGTGCTGGGCCCTGTGTCTCTGCTATTCAGATTCTGCTTCGCTCTGGGCCCCCAGGGCCCGTCTTCCCACCTCCAACTGTGGTTTGGCACCGGGTGAGACAGGAAGAGCTCAGCAGCAGGGCTGCACAGAGGACACATGGCAAGGGTGGCCACCCCCGTGGCAGTGGGAGGAGAAGTGGGTCAGGGGCTCAGAGTCGCATTTCCAGCCGGGATGCTTTCTGTGGTTGGGTCCCCAATTCCACACCAGGGTGGTCTGTGTGGATTTGCTTCCTCCTGTGCCCACATTGCCACCCTCCTTGCTCCGTGGCTTTGCCTTCGAAGCCCAGACACCAGCCTCAGCTCTACTCTCTGGATTCAGACCCCTGCCTCGACATACCTGCCCCCCCACCCCGCTGCAACAGCTGCTGATGCCCTATCTGCTGAGGTCTTTGGGTTCCCAGAACCACCTGCCTGAGCCCCACCCAGAGTGACCAGGAAGAAGCTGGGGAGCACAGATTTAGGGGAGACCAGAGGGGAGGCAGGAAGAGTGCAAGGGAGTGGACCTGGCGAGAAATCAGCAGCAGCCTCCGGGCGGAGAGGGGGGTGGCATGCAGAGAAACCACAGTGCAATAAGGGAGTATTCAGATCACCTTATCACCTTTCAGTCCGGGCTCCCCCACGCTGCCCATCAGTCCCTGCAAGACAAAGACCCAAGGCTGGCTGTGATGGGACTCCAGGTCACAGAAGTCAGGAGCCCTGGCTTACATGTGACTTGTCACAAGCCCTGTGCCAGATCCCCCAATTTCAGTGTTCCCATCTGTAAAAGGGGCAAATGACTCCCATGTCACAGGGCAAGGGTGTGGCCTGAAGGAGCTATGAGAAGAGGCAGTGAATCGCAGCACTGCAGACAAACCCAGGGGAAGAAGGCACTGATGGGGAGGGAAGGGCTGAACGAGCCATGTCCCACGCGTGTTGGTTAAATTGGGTCGTCCCTGGGATGTGGTCCTCCAGTGTTGGACTGCCTTCCTGCTGCACGCCCTTCCCACTCCGGGGTGCGCTGAGTTCACTGGTTTGCCATGGCAGTTTCTATAGCCCTGGTGATGTCCCCCACTGGACTTCCAGTGCCCTGAGGCCCGGAACCATGTCAGACTCATGCTCAGCTAGAGGAAGATGTCTGGCCTAAATGACATACAGATGAAGCCTGGCTCTGAGGCCGGAGCTGGCTGAGCTCCTGACCTGCCCAGCTTCCTCCCAGGAGCTCTCTGAGCAGCCTGCCATCCTCCCTTCCCCAGCATCATCTAAGGTTGCCCTTCCTTCTGGGCTGAAATGGGTTGGGGGTGCCCAGCTGGGACTGAAGCGGGGGACATCCCTTGCTTACCTTCATGCCCTTGGGTCCTGGGTAGCCAATCGGACCCAACACTCCCAAGTCACCCTGGGGAGAAAGAGAAGAGGATGCTGTGAGCAGTGGCCAACAGGGGGCTGGCCTAGGTGGTGGGGATGATCCCTGAGGTCCCTGGGGCTGGGCTTCCGAAGATGTCACTCTGTAGGATTGATCTTGGAATGTGGACTGTTCTTCAGAGACCTCCACTAAAGTGCGGGAATAAACTTCACAAAGATCCTTGCCCAAGTTCATTTCTAGATTGCTGCCTCTCCCCTATCCCCATTTCTTTCTATATTCAATATTTCTCTCCTATATCTGGTTCTTTAGCCCCGTACCAGGGATGAAGGGCTTTTCATATGACTATTTTGGACCCTCAGCCTTTCTCTCTATAAAATGGGGGCAATGATCTGTCCCCCCAGAGCTGCTTGCAAGAGTTAAATAAGGCATAAATGGGAGCTGTGACTCTTCCAGCTACATGAGGGGAGGTGCCTCTGGGGAGGGGAGCAGGGAAGGAGTGAGGCTGTGGATCCCGGAAATCCCACCGTTGGTGGTGGGCCCTGTGGGACACTACAATCAGCTGACACATGCCAGATGCCAGGTTGGAGGCCCAGCTTCAGATCGCATCAGCCAGTCTGAGGTGAGAACAACGGAGTCCCCAGACCTAGAAAGCCAAGTTCCCTTTACAGGTATGGAGCCTGCAGATGACAGCTCAGCCTGGCTGAGCGCTGTCCCCATGATGCCCCACCTGGCCTTTCCACAGTCTTCCTCTTCAAGGAAGGCTCTAGAAGGCACTCAGCCAGGCTGAGCTGACATCTGCAAACTCCACCCCATCCCTCTGTCTCTCTCCCCGGGGGCATTCCACGGCACAGGCCCCTTGCCCTTCCGAAGGAGCCAGGCAGGAATGTGATTCTTCATTCTCTGTCCACCCGGTGGACAGCAGACCACCGGGTCTCACTCTTCTCTGGGACTCACTCATTGTGTGAACTGGGGGATCTTGATGTCTTCGTGCCTCAGTTTCTTCATGTGACAAGTGGGGATGAACAATGCTGTGTGCCAGCCAGCCTTGTTTCCAGGAGTAACTGATTGAACATGTAAATACTTGGCATATCCGGCTGCCAAACTTAAGAGGTACTATTGGCATCTGGTGGGCAGAGGCCAGGGATGCAGCTGGGCATCCTGCTGTGCACAGAACAGCCCCCACCAAGAATAACCATCCAGCCCAAACGTCAGTAGTGCAAGGTCCAGGAACCCTGGTACAGAGCAAAGAAGCAACTGGCTTTCCTCTTAACCAGCCTGCGCTTTTCCCCTCAAATCTCACTTCTGCCCACTCCATCACTCCCTCGGCCACAGCCATGACATTAAGTCTGCACTCATAGAAAGGGAGACCCTGAAAATGCCCTCTTCTCCCCCTTGTCCATCCTCCCTGACTGATCTAAGTGGCTGGCTGCTGTGTGATTTCAATGTGCCTGACCTCTCTGGGACTCTGTTTCCCACAATCTGATCAGGCTCTAGGGAGGCCCCTGGCAAGTGCTCTGTGGTTGGGGCACAGGTCTGAAGGGTCGGAACAAAGGCTGCCCCAGGTAGCCAGGCTCGAGAATAGGAAGTGGCGTTCCTGACGGAGCTGCCTGGAGACGTCTCGGAGGGAGGCCAGGCAGAGAATGAAAAATCACATTCCTGCCTGGCTCCTGCAGGAAGGGCCGAGGGGCCTGTGCGATGGAATGCTCCCGAGGAGAGAGAGAGACACAGACGAGACAGACGGTGTGGAGTTTGTAGACGGCAGCTCAGCCTGGCTGGGATGATGCCGATTCTCACTCTTTCACCCCCAGAACAACTGGAGTCTGGCCTTGGCCCTGCCTGGGCTGTGTGATTTTGGGCAAACGCTTCCCCTTCCTGGACTTTAGGATTCCCATTTGATTGGATGAAACAAAACCTCCTAGCTGAGCCTTTGCTAAGAAATTCTGCTTTCAGGCCAAGCACTGCGTGGTGGTTCATGCCTATAATCCCAGCAGTTTGGGAGGCCCAGGTAGGAGGATTGCTTGAGGCCAGGGGTTCAAGACCAGCCTGGGCAACATAAGGAGACTCAATCTCTACAGAAAACATGTAAAAATTAGCTGGGCAAGGTGGTGCATGCCTGTGGTACCAGCTACTTGGGAGGCTGAAGCAGGTGGATTTCTTGAGCCCAGGAGTTCAAGGTTACAGTGAGCTATGGTAGCGTAACTCAACTCCAGCCTGGGGGACACAGAGAGATTCTATCTTTAAAAAGAAAGAAATTCTGCTGTCAGGTCCCATCAAGTAATCTCACAGAGAAAGTGAGGGCTCAGTTAAACGGGTGATAATAACAAGCATATGCCAGTTGCCAGGCACTGTGCCAGGCACTTGACTTGCCTTAACCCAGTAATTCCTCACCACGGCCCTTCAAGATCAGTCTACTACTGTCCCCATTTTATAGATGAGGAAACTGAGGCTCTGAGAGATTAGGGCTTGAGTGAAGTCACAGAGCCAGGGCACCACTGGGATTCACAGTAGAAAGCCTGACTCCAGAGCTTCTAGGTCATTCCAAGGTGGTCTCTTGAGAGGAGGGAGAGAGGCCGGATTAGAAGGGAGGCCAGCTTTGTCTGCAGAGAGCTGCATGTCCACAGGTCCCTCTGGCTGCTGCCTCTCTCCTTTCCTGGATGAAGGCAGCCAGGGTGGCCTGCCCAGAGTTCTCCGTGATGCACAAATAAACAGAGCCGGCTCTGCTGGAGGAGTCCTGCTCCGCCAGGGGCCAGGCAGGGCGGGCGGCAGGCAGGGGGGCCACCAGCAGCTCGGGAACATAGGCTCATTCTTCCTCCCTCCATGCCTGAAGCGGCTTGTTGTGTGAAAATGAATTCAGTACAGACCAGACGGTCACCTGTGTGGGGCCTCAGGGAGTCATGGCACAGCACCCCACTCCCCAGGTCCCACTCTGCCTTGGCAGACCTCTCCAAAGGGGTCTGTGTGTGGTGGGGGCAGAGACCTGGCCTGGGCATCCAACCCCAGGGCAGACGGAGTCCGTGGCAGAGAGACCCCTGGCTGGCAGGATAGAAGGTGCTGGATCGCACAGGGCAGGTCCGCCTGTGTTGGTGGGACCCTCACATTGGGCTATAAAAGCATTTTGGGGAGGAACGAAGAAAGCTCCAGGCCAGTATCCTACAGAGCTGCCATCTACTGTGTACCAGACACCCTCGAGGGCAGCATGGCCACGGCCACTCAGAATGTCACGTCCACATGAGAAGGAAGAATGAGTAAGGCCCTTAACTTGGAGTCTGTTCCCACTTTTCTCTAAGCTCCCAGATACCACACTCGACATTGCACCCTTCATCTCACCCCACCAAGAACACAATTAGCCTTGTCTGTCACCATTTAAATAGCGCCCACTGTGTGCCAGATGCACAATACCCACCTTGAAGCCTCCTTAGCAATCGCTAAATGTCACTCTGCGCAACTTCGACATGCCAGGGACAAGGCTGGCAGCATGGACGCTCACCAACTGCTCACAGTAACCCCAGGAGGTGAACACCATTGTCAGTCCCACTCCATTTTACAGATGGGAAAACTGAGGCTTAGGGACAGGTGATGTAACTTGCCTCAGATCGAGCAATAAGCAGGAGGCAGAGACAGGACCAGAACCCAAGTCAGTCAGTCAGTCAGTCTGTCTGTCTGTCTGTCTGTCTGACCCCACAGTCCATGCTCATAAGGCCTGAGTTGGCTGTTGACCAAAAAAGCACTCAAGGTTGCCTGTCCTGTTGTCATGTCTCACGTGAGACAGGGCATGAGGTCAGGCTGGAGACTGGGAAGAACTGAGTTGTATTCCCCTGAATGGTAGCAGTGGACCCTGGAGGCGAACGTGGGAGTGAGCGTCCAGTGCCCATCCTTCATGATGTTTGCGCACGCATCTCACCTTCCTGCCCTGCTCCTCCTCCTTAGCTGTGACACGCTTAGCCACTGACATAGCTTCCCGACCCTGGCTCAAGCTGTTTCCTATGCCCAGAGTGCTGTGCCCCCCACTGGCATTGTTAATGCCCATTTGTCCTTCAGCCTCCAGTGCTAACATCACTTCCCTGACCCCAAGAGCAGGTCGTGCCCCTGCTGTCAGGCCCCTGAGCCCCCATGCCTCTCACTCAGGACCCCTCTGACACTGACCATCCTTTTTGTATGTGCTTATGGGGCTACCACCTGTGCTGCCAGACGAAGGCCAGGTGCCTGCTCTGAGGACCTCACCTCTGTGATCCCAGTGCTGAGCACAGAGCACAGCTCCAAGGAGGTGCTTGGTAAAAGTGGCTTGGTGATGGTGAAGAAGAAAGCCAGACAGGGCGCGGTGGCTCACGCATGTAATCCCAGCACTTTGGGAGGCCGAGGTGGGTGGATCACGAGGTCAGAAGATAAAGCCTGTTTCCTTAACTGTAAATTGGTGGCCCACTTCCTACCCTGAGAGGGCTGTGGTGACCATTACAAACTTGACACAGGGTTGGGCACAAGAGGGTTTGGTGCATGCCAGGTGGTGAGGTATCTGACCTTGCTGTATAGACAAGGAAACAAAGCCAGGTGATGATTCAGTGCAGAACAAGGTGGACTAACCCCTTGCACCTCACATGCTGGGTGTGTGGCCAGATCACATGTTCTCTGGGTTCTATTAAATTGTGGAGGAGCCAAAATTTCCTCTGTGTCACTCTGAATAGAAAGGACAGAAATCGTCTTTGTTGAGCAGATTCTGGAATCAGGCACAGTTTTCTTGAGGGCCTGCCAAAGGGTTTCAGTTACTCAAAGAGGGCTCTTTGGAGTCCCTCTCACCTCTGAGGCTGCAGGGAGCCACCGGTGGCTTATTGGAATTGAGGCATTCAGACCCAGGTGACAAGCCCGACTCTTCCCCTCTCTAACCAGTGACCTCGGCTTTGCGAGGCTTGCCCAGCCCAGTGCATGTGATATACACACAGCAGACAGAAGCTCAATAAATGTTAGTTTGTCCTCTCACGCCCTTCCTCCCGGCTGCAAGGACCCAGGGGACGGAAGGAAGGTTTGGCCTCAGTCTGCATGCAAATTGCTTCAACTGACTAGACAGAGGCATTGAATACATTTGAATTTCCACTAAAATGATTATCAATACGTGGAATTCCCATTTGCTCAGCTAAAAACCCACATCCTCTGGAAAACCATAGGTGACTCACAATCCCTCTTCCTCTTTAACTCCTGGTTAGAAAATTCCTTCCCTTTCCAGCTCTTTGGGGAGACAGTTTTTTCCCCCAGGCACAGAAGCTGCTGTTCCCAAAAATCCAGGATGGAAGGAAGCATTTTCTTGGGGATCAGAGGAGATTTGATGGGCTCAGGTCCAGCCTTGCGACCCCACAGGCACAGGAGTGAGGACACTTCATCTTGGCAGTGAAAATAATCTAAACACTGAGGAAGGAGGCTGAAAGTGGCCAAAAAAGACGCAGGGCATGAAGGAACCACAATCCAAGGCAGAACAAATCAGTTCTGGCAAAGGGGTACCATGAAATGAAGAAAAACCCAGGGCTCTGCCCCCAGCGCAGGCTGCTCCGAAGCAAAAAGAGTGCCCCAGACTAGGACTTGAGCGTCATGGCCTCCATCCTCTCCTGCCTGGGGTGTGACCTTGACCAACAGCCTCAGTTTTCCCATTTGTCGAAAGGGTTTCTCCTGACACCGCAAATAGCACTGCCAGACTGGACAATTAAAAAGACAGGATGCCCAGTTAAATTTGAATGTCAGATAAACAATGAGTGACATTTTAGTATAAACATGTTCTAAATATTGCATCTGGCATTCAAATTTAACTAGGTGTCATATTTTCTCTGGCAACCCTAACAGTGGACTGCAGCAGAGAGCACAGGTAGCCATGAGCTTTGTAAAGAACCAGGAGGTCCCAGCACTTTGGGAGGTCGAGGCGGGCAGATTGCTTGAGCCCAGGAGTTGGAGACCAGCCTGGGCAATGTGGCAAAATCCTGTCTCTACAAGAAGAAAGTACTAAAATTAGTTCAGCGTCATGGTACACACCTGTTGTCCCGGCTACTTGGGAGGCTGAGGTGGGAGGATCACTTGAACCCGAGAGGCAGAGTTTGCAGTGAGCCAAGACTGTACCACTGAGCTCTGGGCTGGGAGACACAGCAAGACCTTGTCTCAAAAATAAAAATAAAATAATGACATAGCTA